ATTTGATCTGATTTTACTTTTCACAAATGAAAGGTTCCCTTTCCTCCCTCTCCTCCCAATTCCCTCCTCTCCTGATGGGGAATTTGCTGTTCATCCTCTAGGTATTCATTTATACAGTTACTCACAGAGACCTGTGGTTTTCCATCTATACAAATCAGAGTAAAATTACTTATGTTTCTGTGACGTTTTAAACTTTGTTTTTTTATTTTATTTTTTTTGCGGAACCGGGGATTGAACTCAGGTCCTTGCACTTGCCAGAGAAGTGCTTATTCCACTGAGCCATCTCCCCGGCCCCCGTTTTAAACTTTGTAATTCATCTTGGAAATCTCTTTGTATCAATACTTATAAAACAGCCTCTTGGTAGCTACAGGCAAGGCCACTGTGTACAATGTGACCAGTTTTCTGTTAACAGACATTAGTTCACCGACTCTGGGCATCAGTACTTCTAAACAAAAATCCTTCATTTACTCGACCATAAAGTCAGCACGTGGTGGTTAGTCAGAAGAAACCTTCCCACACCAGCATTTAGTTCAGTCTCAGTTAATTTGACTTTAATTAACTTAGTGTAAGTTAGGGCCAGTGCTGCGTTGCAGAGTGCTGGAAACGATCATTTCATAGCATCTTAAAGAGGTCCGGCTGTGTCCAGACTAACGTAAACATCGATCAGCTGAAATTTGCACACAACAGGACACTGTGCTTAGCAAAGAGGAGCTAAAGGAGCCTGGGCATCACCCTGAAGAAAGACACTTGGGGAGGAGGTGCAGATGAGAATCAGCGCTGTGTGTGGAGACAGCTGCAAGAGCTGCCACAGGAGGAAGCTCACACGAGGGGTACCTGACTCTGCGGCAGGTACCTCAGGGGCGCTGGGTGAGTCATGGCTGGAGGAGCTCAGGCAGAAGCAGGGCGACTACCATCAGGGGTCCTCAGGGATAGAAAGGTGGAACACACCAATGCTTTCCAACTCTGGGGGTACAGGGGAACCCCCAAGGGCGCCGTGGGAATCCAGTGCCCAGGCCACAGCCCTGAACAGTTAGACCAGCCCTGGGGAGGGGGCCAGCTCTCTGCGCTGCTTCGAGCTTCCCCACCCAGGCACGGGCGCAGCCGAGGTGCCCTTCCTGTAATAGGTCACCTAAAGTCTGTCTCCATTTTATGAATCCATTTTCTATCAGTGAGTTACGAAGCCTCCCAGCCTGTTTAAGTCCCATGAAGAGGGGTCTTCATGATAGAACTGGACCCTTAATGCGAGCTCTACAAGCCAACAGGGTGACCAGCAACAGCATGAGAGCCCATTTCACCCCAGGATGGCTCGGCACACTCATGCTAGGAAAAGATGAAACTCGGTGTTAGTCATTCGGATTTCCTTTCCTGCGACTTCACTGCTCGTGTTCCTCACTGACTCTGTTCTCTGGGTCTGTCAGCTTTTTTCTTACCGAGTCACACAAGAGAAGACAGGCCTCAGTAAGTGGTTGAATAGCCCTGACCAGGCTCTAACTTGTGACCCTCCTCCTCAGTCCACCAGAGTTCTGGGATTACAGGGGGCACCACTGAACCAGGTCCGTTGCCACCTTCTGAGGAGCACTTCAGGGTCACGCAGCTCAGCCTCGCAGGCACTCAACACCCTGTCTCACCACCTTCCTCAAACCCTCATCACACAGCAGCTAACTCCCACCCTCAGCCTCACCAAGGCTTTCCAAAGGACTGCACAGGGCTGTCCAGCTTTACCCTGTAACACAGGGAGGAAGGTCGGCAACTGGTCAGCCTCATTCCCTGGAGGAAAAGAGACCCAACCAATCTTCAGCTGGATCGTCTTGTGACTGGACTTTGAGTGGATTTGCAATGAAACCTTAAATAAAAAGATATTTGCACACAGAGGTACTTAATGCACGCACATGTACATACACATACGTGCGTGTACATAAATTGTGTTTTTGCTGACGTTTTGACAAGGCCACGTCAGTAACACAGACACAGTGCTAAGGGTAGCTGCATTCTCTAGAGTCAAGAACTTCTGAATGTCAAGCAAAGCAATGAGGCAGTGTCAGATGAATGGGTATAAAAGTCAAATTCAGATGAGTGCAAAAGACATGAGTGGAAAAACGACAGGGAACGGAAGAGAAAGCACAAGGGAAGTGAATGCCATTAGCAACGTCCTCTTGCGCCCTGGCCCACCTGCTCACGTGCCATGTGCTGGGCTCCCCGGCCCGCCGCAATCCGAGCACACTCCTGGAAGGTGTTTCCCTCACCTCCTTCCACCTCCCTTCTTCATCTCCCTCTCCTAGAAACCCAACAGCTTACCTGGCAACGTCCCCTAAATTGCCAACTCCAACTGCACTTCAATCTGTTCTTACCCAGATGAAAGCAGAGAGGAGACGCGCAGTACCTGGTGGCCCTAGTGAGGTCAGAGTGGCAGCTTTGGTCTCAACTAAGAAGCAGAGATAGCATCTGGTGAGATACTCGCAAGGTGGTAAACAACAGAGCTTCCTGTTTTAAATAGCCTAGCTTCCCAGATTTGCAAGCTGCCTGAAAGATATTATATTTGGCACAGTTCTTCTTTTCATTTTTTCCGGCCCACACGGAGCAGCCAGCTAAGGAGCTCTGCTGATGAAGACGCCTGGGGTCCAGCGGGGCCCTCAAGGCTCTCCACTCCCTTCGCAGCATTCAGGCTTGATTTGGTGAAAGGAGCACAATTTGCCGATAAGCATTTCTTTGACCCAAGAGGAGACAGGATGAAAGATGAACTGAGACTTTCCCCGTAGGGACGGATGACAACAAGGGACAAGTTAATTGTCCTGTGGGGCCCAAAAAGAGGCCTTGCTGGTTGTCAAGTTGTGCAGTAAAGGCTGAGATGACCCAAGAGGACCTGGGCTTGAGTTTCAGTTGCGGGGCCACGCTGCACAGCCTTGGAGTAATCACTTAGACTCGCCGGATCTCAGCTTTCTCATCCGGAAGCTGAAAAGGATGAGCTCTGTGTCAGTGAGTTGTCAGGAGCCAACAAAAGTCTCTGAAGACTATGCAGAGATAGGCCAATGGAAGGCAGAGGTCAATTTCACTGTGACACAAGCTGCACCGGCAGTGCCACTTGCCTCTGCTGTGTGTCCCTGGGGACTTTATCCTTTGGCCCTGTGCCATTGTGGATAAGCTAGGTAATTGTCTATGAGTTTACCAAGCATTTATCAGACGTTAGACATGCATATGGAGCTCTTCTAGGTATGTTCCATGATAAGGAAAAGGTAGAAGGAAAGAGCAAAGGAGGCGGCTAGGAAAAGAAAGATGGTAGAGTAAGAAAGAGGAAAGGGTGGAAAAAGGCTCCTCTCTAGATCAGTCTAAATATCAGTCCATCCAGGCATCCATCAGGCATTCATCCAACCCATTAGTGTGACAGCTATTCAGAGGTCCTATCTGCGGAGGGTATTCAGAATCACTAGACAGACTCTTCAGCAGATGTTGGGACTCTGTAGAGCATTGTGCTGGTCTAGGTGCCTTTTGCTCCCTTCCCTTCGCCCAGGGATTTTTATCCTTAGATTCCAGAAGATGTCAACAGATGGTTGAATGCACCTCAAGACAGAGTAGGCACAGGGCTGGCTGAGATGGAGAAGAGTGGGGGATGAGCTCAACCACTGACCGGTCTTTCTATGTTATAAAGAGCTGAGGCACACAGAGCAGACCCCGGCATTGTGGAGCTACTGAAGGTCGTGACTGTACTGGTGCCACCTTACTTGAGATCCGTGTTTGAGAGATTTCAGAGTACCGGCGCACATGTTTTCTGCATAGAAACCCACAGCCTTTTGGCTTACTAGGGTGATTACTACAGGGGCCACCCCAGAATGACCTCCATGGAACACCTCTGTGGGAACACTTCCCACCGCTGTCTGTGTAGACAGCTCCCCTGGAAGTGCACGTACGCCACAGTGGGAAGTGAGGCCTGGTAATCCCCTGCGCTGCAGATAGGGGAAGCAAGATCACATGTGCCCTAAAGTAGGGTGGGGATTCACACACTGACCTCCTGCTTCCCTTGCCATTTTCTCACCGTGGTGGCCCGGAGAGCACTGGGCTTGACATTGGCCACTAGAGGTCCAGGGCGTGAGTTGTGCAGCATTCCAGAGTCCATCTCATCTTCCGCAGGGGCAAGGCTGCCTGAGATGGTGCCCCCGGTAGGGCTAAGGCTCATCCTGCTCGCAAGATGACGGACTGCAGAGAGCGAACTGTAACAAACCTCCTGCAATGGAACCCAACAAATCACGGAAAGCAGAGAATTCTGTAAGGAAGCTCCGTGCATTCCTTTTTTATTTTTGCGTTTTGCCCATGCAGTGATAATACAAAAGAATGGGTGGTGTTTTGCAGAGCCTATGTGCAGGTGACACACTTTGGTGGCTTTGGCCCCATGACCTTCTGCCCACCCTTCCCCCTATGTGCACCCTTTGGGTGAGGATCTCATTGTGTTTATTTTGCTCCTATCCCTCCCCCATCACTTTTGTCAACATTTTAGCTTCCCCCTATTAAGAAGGACATGCGATACTTGTCTTCCTTTGTCCAGCTCTTCTTGCTCAGCGTGATGGGCTGTGGATCCACTCACTTTTCTGCAAATGACAGAATTGCAGTTTCTTATGGCTGAGGAATACTCCATTGTGCGCGGCCACGTCTTCCTCATCCGCTCATGGGGAGCAGTGAGGCTGGCTCCATATCACGGCTGTTGCCAGTCATGCCACAGTAAACATACGGGTCACAGGTCCTGTTGGCAGAGACATCAGTGCTCTGGTTTTAGAGCCCCGAGAAGGGTTAGGGCTGCGTCCCGCTGGAGCTCCACTTTTAGGTTTGGAGGAAGCCCCACCCTCATCCCCACTACCTTCCCGCCAGTCTTGTAGACAGCTTCTTCTTTCCCTGACCGGTTCCTTTGGCTCTGCGCCCTCATCAATATCTCTATCTATCTATCCATCTATATCTCATATATTTGGTATTCTTGATGACAGCCATTCAGACTGCAGCGAGATGGAATCTCACTGTGGTTTTGACTTGCATTTCCTTAATGGCTGAAAATGTTGAACAGTTTTTCAGATACTTCTTGGCTATTTGTACTTCTTCCTTTGAGCAGCTTATGCATAAGTTTGTAAAAAACTAATTCATATGAGATGTTAAAATTTATTCACTTCTGGGGCTAGGGAGAAAGCTCAGAGGTACAGCGCTGGCCTGGCAAACACAAGGTCCTGAGTTCCATTCTTGTTCCTGGTGCAAAAACAAACAAACAAACAAACAAACAACCCCAAAAAACCTAAAATAAGAAAAAAGAAGATTCATTCACTTCTATTACTTAGAGAAAAAGAGGATGAGGAGTTTTTCTGAAACCTGATGACAAAAGTTTCAAAAATGTTTAAATGATTGCCAAATATTTCCATTAATAACATATCCACGTACCATTCAATTTAAGCCCACAGCTGATAAAGCAGAGTTGTGCGGCCCACATAAGGCCGCCTTTTCCTTATGCACCCTGCGGGGAGCAGCGAGGCTGCCCCACATCGCGGCTATTGTCAGCGGTGTGCCACAGTGAACGCAGGCCACAGGTCCCTTGGGCACGCTGACTCGTGCTTCGGTCTTACTGCACCAGGAGGGCCACGGCTGCACCAGCGGTAGCCTGCTTCCAGTGTCTGCACACTGCCTTCCACACGCTCTTGCGCGGTACCGTTACAACCAAAGCAGAGGATATCTGCTCCCCCGCCGCCAGGCAAGCCCCAGGGCCGCCCGCAGCCCAAGCAGCCCTGCTCACCGAGCTCACCCCCCAGGACTGGTGCCGTGCCATCCTGGTGGTTCTGTGCTTTTGTGCTGAACAGTGAGGGAAGGAGGAAAGGATTGAGCTGGAATTGAAAGATGGTTCAGCAAAGACAAATTACTGCCTGTGGTGGAAAGTGCCCTTAAGGGATGCAAATCTGATGCACCTCCAGAAAAATGAGAAGGAACATGAACAAATTGGAATAATGTTGGCCAAAGAGGTCTTGACCTTCCACAACATAAGATGAGCCCACAAAAAAAGTAAGAAAGAGGAAGGGAGAAGCAAATTAGACAAAATAGACAAAAGAAGCAGGAGCTATGGTGAGTAAACAACAGGCGTGTTTTGTTTTGAGATGGGTCTCACTGGATAGTTCAGGATGGCCTTTAAGTTACGGCGACAGCAGATGCCGTAGGATGGGAAGAAACTGAACATGTGGAATAAACAACTGAGGCGAAGGAAAGGAGAAGACAGGAAAAAAGAAATGGAGAAACTCACGGAGGTATGTACACGGGACAGCTAAGGTGATTCCCATTTCTATCAGCTTCTTGGAGGTAACAGCTCATGTTTAAAATCTTACTGTGACCAATTTTATACACTTATATCAGTAATCTGAGCTACTACATGGAGGACAGCGATGTGCAACGCAGCAGC